CTGTAATATAAAGGGAAAAAAATCCATATAATACAAGTATCGTGAAATCGGCTAAAACTCAATGAAACCCCGTAGTAAAATTGTTTACAACTGCCAATTCGGAAAAAAGAAGAAAAAAATCAGAAAGCAAAATGATTCATCTTTAATATTCCATTAATATTGTTATTATATATACATTGATAACGTGAAGACAAGGACATGCATGAAATTACACATGTGTACATTTACGGGTAAGTACCAACAGAAATATAGACAAAAATATTCAGCTATTTACGTTTCTCTCTCGTTATCTCTAGTTTTTTGTTTTTGTTTTTTATCACGGATGTGTTCACAAAATCCAAACAACAAAACTTTTAGAGCTTCCCGAAGATGAAAAAAACAGCAGCATGTAATTTTCCTTGGATTTCTTAGGGCGCGCGACCCAGATTGTGCCATCACCTTTTCTTCACTGCCCTGACGAGGTCGTAGAAGGAGTTGATGTGTTCCGGCGTAGGGAGTTTCGAGTCCATGTTTTTCGCTGCCTCCTTCTCGGCCGACTGGTCCTTGCGGGCGCTTCCAGCAGGCTTGTCAGGGGACCCATCTATCTTGGCTCGCTCCCGGGTCGCGTCCCCGCCCGACTCGGCTCCGGCGGCGCTGCCTTCTGCGACAGGGAGCCCCCTCTGGGAAGCTGGCGCGCCGGGGGCCTGAGGGACGGGCCGCGCCGGCGCCGGACCCCCCGCCGCCAGGCTCTCTTTTCCCTGACAAGCCGACGTGGGGCGATCCAGCGGCGGTGGCGTGGCCGCAAGATCCAGCGTTGGGCACGAGGTCAACAAACTGTCATGCTGCGCCCACCTGCTCGCACGCGCCCACCATTTTTCTCTCAGGGGCTTGTGCTCTGACTCATGGCTGGGTCGTGAGGGTAGTTCGAGAACCCATGGTGCTCACTCGGCGCGAGGATTCCTACTTCGAATATTCTTTCCGTGCGAGAAGATTACGCTCGTAGGTGTTAGATGCGTAGAGTCTCGAGCAGTCCCGACGCGTGAGTTCTGATAACTTCTGATTTATCGAAAAGGGAAATGGTGTAAAGCCACAGAAATCTAATCAAACTTCACCAAAAAAAAGCTTCCTCTGTGATTTTTTTCTCTCGAATTTCATTTTTGTTGTTGTACTTGGAATACATTTACACTAACAGTCGAACTCTACTTAAAATTGGTATTCATCCATCAGGGCTAGATACCGATATACTGATTATCGAACATTCGACTACACTGTAGTTCGTTGTCGTGCAATATGCAGAGCGGGAATTTAAAGTATTGTCCCGTAACCCCAGAAAAAATTAACTTACTACAACCTGAGCGAACTTTTATACTAGACGTGTGTGAGTATGTGTATATGTGTATGTGTGTATATGTGTATATATAATATATATATATATATATATATATATATATATATATATATATATATAATATATATAATATATAAATACATAATATATATAATACATTAATATATAATATATAATACATATAAAAAACATATTATATTATATATATATATATATATATATATATATATATATATATATATATATATACACATACACATAATACATATATACACGTGCGTGTGTGTGTGTGTGTGTGTGTGTGTGTGTGTGCTGTGTGTGTGTGTGTGTGTGTGTGTTGTGTGTGTGTGTGCGTGTGCGTGCGTGTGCGTGTGTGTGCGTGTGCGTATGCGTGTGTGTATGTGTGTACGTGTATGCATGCATGCGTGCGTGCGTGCGTGCGTATAGATATAGATGTGAACGCATGTGTACATGGATATAACATATCTCAATCGACCTCCGCTCTAACCCACTAGCTTCCGACTACCCACGCACTGTAGCTGCGATCTAAAAACCCGCAGAAAGCCACAGATGTATGAAGAAACGTGAAAAAGCCATCTTACATATATGACGTAAGAAGTAGATGGAAAAAAACGATTTGCCCCGATAACCAGGAAAGTAGCTGCCTCGACATCCTTTTTATCCTGAGAACGGAACGACCGATACGGAAATACAACGTAATGACGATCCCAGCCCTCCGGGATGTCTCATAATTAATATCCTAATGGCTTGATCCTCCACTGGCTCGATAACTGACAATTCAAAGCGACGTCTCGTACCCACACGACGCGGGGTCCAAGGGCCTGTGACAGAGCGGCAAATCCAGGCTGCGCGAACGTTACTGTTCTTCCCTACCGGTTTTGTGCGCGAAAAGACCAGCAAAACCGTCCTAAATACTCCCCAAATTTACCGACCGCAACAGCCACCGACAGCAACTCCGTGGCATCTATGCTATAATTACAGGCACTTGATGTTTTCGGCTTGTGACGGAAAGCGGAACTTTCACCCTCGATCCGCGTGCAAAACATCTGAATTGCGTGTGCATTCTGGCGTGCGGTGGTGGTAGGGGGTCATCCCTTGACACCACCTAACCATTCCCTGGAGTCTGATGGGGGCTATCAACCATATACACCATAAAAATCACAAACAGTTTAGTGTCACAACGAGGCTATCGAAAATCCCATTCTTGTCACTGCTCCCAGTGTTACATCATCAGTTACTGATTCTAAATACCTTATATTAATTACTGCATTATTGAAAACTGTAGGGCAGCAGCTACCTATATACCTTAGGCAATTCAAATATCTATCAAAGTTTGTTTTTTTAGCGTCTGGACAACATGTATCCAAAGAACTTTAAAATATTTAAAGAAGGGGATTAAAAAAAATAAAAAAAAAAATCATATGACAAAAATATTGACCTCCCTCAGAACTACCAGGCCACACTCCAGCAATTCGTTTCGAGACACTTCCCTTTACTCAAGGCCAAACTTTTCTGACGTACGTAAGCCTGGTTTACGGTTTGATACAACACAACACAAGCCGGCATTTTACGACGTAAAACGACGAGATGCAAAGAGAAATCTCAAACCGTCAAATAGTATGCCATCATACAAAAAAGAGATCTGCCATTATACTAAAACATAAATAAATAAAAAAGACGTGCTCAAAGACACAAAATTCCCTTCATGACATACTTTCTTCCTTCGTAACACGGTGCACAGACAACAACTTGCCACCGTCTGTTTTCTCCTCGTGCATGCGGGTGGGGGAGGAACGGACAGGCCCCCTGGCACAAGGAGGTTCGCCCGGCATGCGGCAGTGGCGGCATGCGTTTGCCCGTTCTCATGCACTCTCAAGGACCAGCAGGGAGAAAAGAGCCAGGCAATACTCCTCCTCCTCCTCCTCCTCCTCCTCGCCGCCGCCAACTCAAGGGGGCGTCCTCACACTTGCGGAATGCCAGGCGCTCTTGCCAAATAAGTGGACGATTTGCGCCACACTTGCTATCGAAGAACTCCGTGACATATTGTTTACGGCGCGTGAAAGAAAAGGGCTTTCTTCACTGCCTCTCCCTGCGCGAGAGACGGAGAGGGGGGAAGCCGCAAGGCAGCCTGCAGACCTCAGATCGCTGCTTACACATTGAAACACGAAAGGAAAGGATGATGTTAAGGATTTTGGTAATTTGTGGTAAGGGCAGTGACCGACATAATGCTTTCTTCTCGACGGACTTTGCAAAAACTATTTTTTAATCCTGCGTATGCATTTATGTCTGTGCATATACCCATACGTACAAATATCCTAATATTCATGCACACACACAAGTGTGTTTGAGTATAAGTACGTGTGAGTGTTTGAGTGAGTGAGTGAGTGCGTGTCCGTGCGTGTGTCTGTGTGAGTGAGTGTGTGAGTGTGAGTGTGAGTGTGAGTGCTGTATCTGTATGAGTGTGAGTGTGTCTGTGTGCGTGTGAGTGTGTCTGTGTGAGTGTGTCTGTGTGCGTGTGAGTGTGAGTGTGAGCGTGAGTGTGAGTGTGTGTGTGTGTGTGTGTGTGTGTGTGTGTGTGTGTGTGTGTGTGTGTGTGTGTGTGTGTGTGTGTGTGTGTGTGTGTGTGTGTGTGTGTGTGTGTGTGCGCGCGCGCGCGCGTTTGCGCGTGCGTGCGTGAGTGCGTGCGTGTGAGTGGGTGTAACTGCGTGCATACACATCTCGCCACTGAACTTAACCAAAGGCATGCGCGGGACGAATACCGTCCTGGAGTGCGAGGCTTTCATTCAATTTTCCCCTCTAATTGCTCAAACAATGTCCGGTTGGCGAGCCTTAAGGCCCTCGGCGTCGGCAGATGGCGGAGGAACAGCTCTATTCAGGGCGCGCGGTGTCACTTTCACGAGGCTGACGAGGCGTTTGAGGAGCCATCAGGCGTGTGACGAACCCGGGGGGCCGTCCGGGTCTCGCGGGACTCGGAAGGCGGCGGGCCAAGTCAAGACGACGGTCTTAGGAAAATAACGGCAATCTGATTGTGTATGGCGGTGGCTTAATATAATAAAATATAATGTAATTTAATACACCCCCACACACCCACACTACTTTCCCCCCCACTCTCCACACACACTATCTATATGTATATCTATCTATATAAGTATATATTGCTTATTTGATAGAATACTCGATGCTCTCACATGAAATAGACAAAATTTCTACTATATGAATGAATTTACAATATGGCCTTTCACTACAAAATGCCCCAGAGTACAAAAACAATTATTTAGAACCAAACAGCTGTTCATATTAGAAAAGAAGCCAGACCAACGCGGCAAGTTATCGTACGAGCAGTACAACAGATGAAGATACAAGACATATGATTAACATTTCAGTGCCTTTGTTGCAGGAAATACACTGGGATGGTGATGTTAAAACTCGCATTGCTGGGGAGACAAAAGGACAGGAGGAAGAGGAAGTAACAAGGATAAAATAATATCCGATCGACGTGAGAGTAACGTTACCTGGCAGGTAAAAAACAATACGAGTTGGGGTGGCAGTGAAAAAAGTTTTCATAGCAAGACGCATCACGTTACACGCTGCTGTGCACAGGCTACCACAGTCTGCCTCCGACCACACACTCAACAAAGGGAGACAGACATAT